ACTTCTAGGAGGTTTTACAGTGTGAATTATAACTGTCTGAAACCTGGAGGCTTTCCTAAAAATGTTGGCAGGCACAACAGTCTGAAACCATGGGAAATCCTACCTTTGCTTTAAGAGGTCACAGTTATGCAGTTCACAGAGGCAAAGGTAAATATTACTGACACTGCCTCACCTAGCCAACATGGGAGAATGATGAGGTAAATTATGTTTTTAGAAAGAAAAGGCAATATGGTGGGCTTTTCCCTCCCAGAAAACCATGTATTGTGAGCAGGCAGCAATAAAACACAAAGGAATCCAAAAGCACAAATACAGAGGCCTTTTGGATAGTTCACTGAAAACATCAGCTCAATATGCTGCAAAGGTCAAGAAGGCAAATGGAATGTGACAGACTATTAGGGAAGAAAAATTACAGACAATCTAACAGCACTGTAAAATTTGCAGCTGTGCAAACTGCAGATTCTGCTTTGAGACGGGTTAGGATGGCTGAAAGTTTGACAGCCCACCAAGGAAAGGCCACAGATCCTTGCAGTAGATCATGGCTGTGGTGCAAAGAGATAGGACCCCTCTCACCAAATAAACAAATAAACCAGTAGATGCAATCCTCTACCCAGGATTAAATAACACAGCTTGGGGTTATTTTGTGTGAGAAATCATTCCCCTGTCAAAAGCCTATTGCACATGGAATATAAGGATACATTATTGAAGGGAAGATGCCTGAATCTTGTCTGGCCTAGCAGAGTCAGTCCTGATTAATAGTTTGACCAGAGGCTCTCAGGGCTGTAGAAGACTATGCAGACCATTTCTGTCCTTTTGCCCAGAAAACTGCACAACTATATTGAAGATTCACTAGGAGTTGAAGTCAGTGTTAAGGCATCTTGAACAATGAATCACAATCCCAATAGTCCTAAGGCAGACAGATACAGTATGCTGATCCATATTAATTGAATGTCCTTTTATGCATGTGGGTAGGGTGCAAAAATCTGTAACATAATAGCCCTTTTGCTCCCATACTAAGGCAGACTTACAAGAAAATTATAATGCATATTTAGTTCCAATCAATTTTATGTCTTCCAGGAACCCACCTTTAGTAAAGTGACAGGAGTCTTAACTGGCCCCTGAGCACACAAAGGAGAGATCACAAAAAATAGCTCCTTCTCCCAAATTACAACTAAACTTGAGGAGGGGAAGGTCGATGACATTACTATTCACAAGATGTATGCAGGGTATCAACAAAGTCAAAATGGCAACCATAATGATGCTTTTCCCCATTTTTATTTGTGGCACATGTTTTTGCAGATGTCATATGTCCAATGTACAAAAGGGACAAGTTTTTAATTGTGTGGTCACAACTTCCATTTGGACTTTTTTGACACTTCCCCCAACAACAAATCTTTCTAGTTGTTCCTATAATAAAATAATACCAGTGCTGTCCTCAGCCAGCTGAGGAATTCTGGGAGTTGAGATCTACAAGTCTTAAAGTTGCAAAGTTTGGAGACCTCTGCTATAAAGCATGGCATATACTGGTGCAGAAACCATAGTTCAAGAATAAGTGTACAATGTTATGCACTTAAATATAATGGAGATTGTTTCTAAGTAAACATAGGACTGGCAAATCTGAAATGAAAGGCCAAATCTCCCAAAAAATATGTTTGCTCTATTATTTGCTGACCAACCACTGTATTCTATAGGCTTGCTTTTTTGAGGAAAAAAACCCTTACATTTAAGTTTAAATTTACACATGCAATAGTCCATAAAATATGGAAGCTTTTCCTGTATCATCCCATAATTTATGTAACAGTTGCAGTAAATTGCTCAAGAAAGATTTTTAATGTGATTCACCCAGCTTTCATACTTTGACATTTTCCTTATGCAGACTTTTTAAATGCAAATGTTACTGCATATGACTTCCACTAGCACACGTTCTCTCTGGCACTTTTTTTTTTCAGATTATTGATTGACAAAAGACAAACACTAGTCCATTTTGTTTCATGCTAGAATTTGTATCACTGTTGAAATTCAGGCACTAAAATTGACCGAACTGATGATTAGAATGTTTTTTACGTGCTTAACCAAATGCAGATTTAGCATTTTGTGCTTTTTGCTCTATTCAGTTATAGAGAAGAGCTTAACATTTTCTGATTTTTCACTCAGGAAGGTTTCCCTCTCTCCACTGTGATTTCAGAGTCACCAGAAAAACTTGATAATACAGACAATTTTGAAGGTATTTCCCCCCCCCCATACTCTATGGTCTCTTTCTCAGGTGTCACTCGCTCTTTATCCCCATATACAGATAGATATGATCACTAAATCCAGGTGGTTTTATCTCCCAAATGTCTCTAAAATCTTCCATTTCCTCTTCATTCTCACCACAAAAATATAAAACTTGTCAAGTCCATCCTCCTCTTCATCCTTGATTATTGCAACCTCATTTTCTTCAGGTTCCTGCTGATACCCTCAACATTCAGGTTTGCCACTAATCTGTTGTGAAAATAATCCTCCATTAAGATAGTGCTGTGACATTCCTAAATTGTCATCTCTGCCAGTTCTCTGTTGCCTGCTACATCTGATGTAAGCTTCTTGTATTATCCTTAATAGTCTTATGGGCTGACCCCTTTCCTGCTCCCGTCTGCTTTTCACTTTTCATTCCTGTCTTCTTGGCTCATCTAAGCTCCCCATCAAATTTCATCTTTTTTCCTCCTTTCCACCTCTGAATTTGTGTACCTTGATAATGTATTTACTAAAATGACAAAACTGATGGGGGATGTGGAAATACAGGTGGAAATATTGTAATAAATTAAAGAAAGGGTGGGATCTGTTGTGAGGATGAATGTTAACTAAAAGAGAAATTGGCTAGGTGTAAGGACATGCTTCTTCCTGCTTTGTTACATGAAGTGAGACTTGTTATAGACAAAAACATTCAAGAACACAAATTTCCCTTCATAACACACACTGCAATCAAGCAGAGATTAATCTAAGGCCTTCTTCCTGCATGATAGGGACCAATTATACCAATGTTTACTCAGTGCAGTTGTTGTGGACATAAAATCAGAACTTTCCCCATTTGATTTCTGGTCCTTGTTTGTTTGTGTTGGATTTTTTTAGTGGGGAGATTGAAAATGGGGAAATCTCATTGATAGGCATAAATGCTGCAGCTGCAGCAACAGCAGCGGGATTTTGCTTTAATATCGTTTCCTATCCAAAACCTCCTCGCCCAAAAAGTGATTGACAGCTTGATGTACCTTTTTTGTGTAAAACTGGACAAACTGAGGAAGGTGGCTCTTAAACAGTTTACAGTCTAGTTATTTATAAATCCCTTGTAAAATGAAATACAGTCCAGACAGAAAACAATAAGATGGAAAAAGAACCCCATCTGTCTCAGTCCTATTGGGAGTGAATTTGGGAATCCATTTTCACTGGAATTTATGGCAGGAGACTTCTCACTACTAGCACAACAATTTTAAAGCTTTAAAAGTTGTAAGAACCCATGGGTCTGCTTTTCATCTTAAAAAATATATATTGGCACCCATTGTATAGTTTAGTGAATTTTCCAGACTAGAAAATTATCCTATCACATTATATGGTTTTATATGTCTGGGCATTTATTTCATTCAGTCATTGTCCAGGCAGAATAGGTATAAAAAAAAAAAAAGGAATTATTGGACATCTGTGAGATCATTACATTTCTCCTTCTGGGCCTTTCTGCTGTTATTTATTGCTATTGGTACTTGTGTAAACTATCCCTAAAATGAACAAAACATGGCAGGAGAGTGATAGGCAACAGAAAAAAAAATTGCTTCCCTTTCTGTAGACTTCTTTTGTAGAGAAGCACAAGCAAAATGGCATGGAGTATGTTGGAGTAAGGATGGTGTATATCAAAAAAAAAGAAAAAATCCTTTCCCATAAGCATCACGAAAATGAGGATTGATACTTCTGTCAGTTCAAGATCTTCTGAATTTAATTTCTTTTGAAGAGTTTGCTCAAAGTGAAACAGGAGGCAGCTTGAGAATACACAGTAAGATTTCCCACAGCTTTTGTGCTTAGCGGAAACTACATCCAACTTGGAGAAAAAGTCCTCTGCCTTCACACATAAGGCCTGCACTCACCTTATTATTAATATTATATGGTATTTTCAGATAAACATTGAAATACTTTCTCAAGAAATCTTGAGCACTACATCTTATTTGTAGTCAAACTTCTATTCAATCAAAGTCTTGGAAGATGATGCCATAACAGAAACAATGAGGTATTCCTTATGTAGAGAATGACAATTCAGTACATCATGTTGAAGAGGTTTACAGCAAGCTTCCAAACAGTCACACAGACCAGAGGCTATAACAGGAAATAACACATCAGAGATAAAGAGAATGCATTTTTTTTCATCATTCTTTGTTTGGTCTAAAAAAATTCTTGTTTCCCACTTCCCCACTGCATAGTATAGTTTCATTGCTCCTTTTATCCCTTAATTATTGTGATGTCACCTCCTTTAGAGTTTCAACTTATATCTCCCTGCGTAAGTTTCCCTGCTGGCCTTGAAATTCTTTGCTGCACATTCAGTTTCCTGCCTACTTCCTTCCAGAGCTTTACAACTTTGTTTTCCACACAAAAGAAATCTTAGTGGATTTCCTGTACCTCCTTCTTATACTGCTGCTGTTAAAGTGACAACATTTTATATAGCAGCTGGGATATTTTGGATACTCAAGGAAAGCCATCAACAAGGCAGAATCAATCAGACTTCACAAGCTTTGGGGATACTAGAGTTTTGATATGCTCAACCACCTTCAACAAAGAGAGATAATAAGTTAGCATCTGCTTTGCTCCTTGTTTTTATTTCTGCTCTGTTCTCCATAGCCTTCCAAAGCCAAGTTTGGTTTACAGCTCTTTCCACAGCTCTTAACATCTCAACCTCTGTACTCACCTTCCATGCTGATCTTGACATTCCCATCTTTTCTGTTAGCCTTTCTATATAATTCTTTTCTTTTGTCTCCCAACTCGTTATTCACCTTTTGAACCTACCTTGCCCTTTCATTAAAAGATCTGGAAGAGCGTATCTAAGGATACATGTCATCGTAAGGTCAGCAGTTTTACAAGGATTTTGTCTTCTGTTGACATGTATGGATATTGGGCACATGAGCATGCACCATCCAACAAGATTCCTCCATTTGTAACAACGGAACTCGAAACTGGACACTTCGTAGAAGCACCATCCATGAAGCTTCTCTTGCTTTTAGGTAGGTGATTTCCCTTTCTGAATAAAGATTAAGACTAAATTAGAGTTAGGAAAGAAACAAGATTCTTATAACAATATAGAAATCCCTTTATGGTAGTTGCTACATTTGATAAGTGCAACAGATTTTTAGCATCTGTAAGAACTGGCATGCAAGAATCATTATGAATTCATTCTCATTGAATCTGGAGGAGAAATTGCATTGTAATAAAACACAGCCAAAGAAGATTTATTTGTTTATAAATGGCCAGTTTTTTTTTAAAAAAAAAGATGCATTCTCTGCATGAAAGAATATTAATAATGTATAATAATGCCACAGAGGATATGAGCCAGATCAACATTATATTTACAAAATTATTTAATCTTAAGCTTTATATATATTATATATATATATATATTATTGTAGTTTGGGTCATCATTATTTAAGAAAGCAGTTTCTGATTTTCATGAAGCAATTAATCTTAGATTTGTATCTTAGGACTATGATACAGAAAAGCAGTATGTAGGTAAATACATTCTCTTCTATACAGATTGGTTTTACCCAAGCACTTCTTGATTATTAAGCTAAGTTTTTTTAAAAAATGTGGGAGTAAATCCCACTGAATGTTTGTTCGTTCTTTTTTCTTTATATTAATATCCACAAGCAAATATGTACATATATTTGTATATGTATGTGTGGGGAGATGTACACACACACACACACACACACACACACACACATATATATATATATAAACACGCACACATATACACACATGTATACATAAAACAAAGGAAAGAATTTTTATGAAAGCATGGAAAAAAACAGCAACATAAAATATGACAGAGACAATAAAACATTCCTAACAAAAATATTTTCAAATGCTTACTCAGATATACAACTATTTTTTAGGAGAGCTTTTAAAAGTTTAGTTGTGGGAATGTAGTTTTCCATTTGGGAATAGGATGCCTCAGGTTCATGCTAGTAAGTCCCAAACTTATTGAAGTAGAGCTAGTTTTAAAATTCAGCATGTGGTTTACTCTTAACATGAGCAATTTTGTGTTGCTTTTCAATCCCTGTAGTGTTTCTTGCCACTCTGCTGGATAGTTGCTACAGCCTCCAGAACTGTACCAACCCATGTCACAAGTATGCAAAATGTGAAGTTCGCAATGGAATCCATGGTTGTTACTGTAGCCCAGGATTCACCGGACCTGGGATTGATGCAGATGGTAACAGTGGTTGCTATGGTGAGAGACTAGCTTTGTTTGATAACTTTTCCTCCTTTTGATAGTCTTGTAATTACATCCAACATCATATGGTGAGAACACTAAATGTAGATATATGAAGGTTGTATAATAATATTGTAGAGCTGGGGATTCTTTTGCAAGTCGTTTGGATGAAATGCTTTGAATCCTGCCCAAGTGCAAGCACAGCAGTTACCTGTTTTTAAAGCAGACTTTTTAGATTTCCATCTAAAAAAAAGATACAATTGATACAGACATTAATTCATTAGAATTAAAGAGACTCTTAAAGCAACAGCATCCATTCTGTTAAGGCTCACTCAGAAGCCCAAAAGGAGATGTGGCTGCTTTAAATGGTAAGGCATGGGGAAGGGTTGTTGGATGTTGTGTTCAGTTTTTTCTGAATCGTTTTCAGAATGTGTACAGCTGTATAATGTAGTTTGTTCCTGAAATTATGGCATTTCTTAAGGCTTGTGCAACTGCTCAGGCAAGCACATCCTTAATCTGGAATTCCGGTAGAATGTTGTGATGTCATTGCAGTTCATGAGAAACAAGCATTAGCAGTATGAGCTTTTCCAAACCAAGAATGGACCGCATAGCGCTTAGCACAATAGATTGTTAGCCGGATGAAAAATTCAATGGCAATAAAAATTATACTTTACAATGCCAGTTTTCTGAAAATTATATCCTGTTTGTTCAACAGTCACCTGCAAAGTTTTTACTCACTGTCACTTTGCTTTGAAGTAACTTTCATAATAGAGCAACCGAAGACAGAATCGCTGGAGAGGGATAATTATTTGTTGATTCCTCTCTATGTTTTAGGTGCTAATGAAGGATTTTATCTATGGTTTAAGTTTTAATAAATGCTTAACCTGTCAATCCTAGGCATGTTTATTGTCAAATTATTCCCAAATTATTCAGAAAAGTTCTTCTTACTGAATAAGCTTTTACAGGATAGCCATATCGGCCTATGATTCTGTGCACGTTTTTGACGTGTCATTATTACAGCTATTAAGCTGCCAACATAAAAACACAGATTAAATATTCATATTTATACATATTGCAAGCACATATAACAAATATAGAAAATAATCTGTTGCAAATACAACAGATGGCAAATTAATGCTCATTTTCATGATTATATTCATGATACCTTCTATCCAATTATAATAAACACTGTTCTGTGGTGTTTCTCAAGATATTGATTACGGTAATATATTGCATTTTTGCTCTTATCTAATTGTTTTGAAGTTTATGATCAACCTTCTCCTCAATTAATAGAAAACCAGATTCCATTTTAAACTCCCAAAATGCCCAGGGGTATTGCTGTATACTTAGGATATACAAAGATGCAGCTTTTCAAGTGAAGAGTACCCCAAATCAGCATGCAGAATTTCTGACTAGATTTTATACTTTTTATTATCAGACCCTTCCTGAGGATCTAGGATAGCTGAAACTACCATTGTAATATTAATTAAAATAGAAATAATTAAATAAATGATATTAATTTCATCGCACAATCAGCCAAATGTTCAGAATGGATTTGGCATTTTTATCACTTACTGAGTTCTTCCCAAGGACCTGGCATAGGGAGAGGTTGATGTTTTATTGTGTTAGAGGTATGTTTTGCTTATTTTATTTTTGTTGGCTTCCTTGAATATTTTGTGCTGGAATGCAAAAAAGAAGTAGTTTAACTAAAAGAAACACTTCCCGCAGCAAGGAAATATTATGTCTAAGAACAAAATAATAGAGCACTTTAAAATTAAAAGAAAAAAATGTTTCTTGAAGGCAGTAATAGTTTGGGGGTTAATATTTTCTGTCTTCTAAGAACATATCTACTATCTTGTAATTGGATAAGATCTTGGAAGGATTAAAAGACAGTCAGGATAATAATTAGCTTGAAGCTAAAATATGGAACAATGCTTTGACTTAATGATATGTTAGATACTGTGGTCTATGCCCCCCCTCCCAATTTCTTTTTTTTCATAGAGAGGCTTTTACTGTTGTAGAGATAAATGCTGGCTTCATTTTAATTGATAATCTTTGTTAGCAGTTATTCTTCTATCAACACAGATTCATTTTCATGTGCTCACAGGAATCTCAGTTCCCCAAATAGCACCCACAGTGAAAGCATATTAGTTAGATAGGTGGTAACATTCACTGTTACTGTTATTAGCATCAATTTAACAATTTTGCACCTGTTCAGTAATAGCTAGTTTTTAATGATATTGTTAATGATGTTATTTAAATACTCATTTTTCCACTCTATTTCTGGCACTATTTTATTGGAATAATCAAAGAAGCCACAGGAGCTATTGCTTACAAAAATAAAATTCAACTTTGGGAAAAAAATAATTTATGGTGGTAAAGAAAAGATCAAAGTTATAAATTTAATTTATTCTAAGCTTATTCAATTATAAATCTAATTCTTAACTGTTTGAAAAAGCAGGAGAATTGCAGTCTAAGTAAAGTTTCAGTTCTCCTTGAGCAGAAAGAAGTGGCTGGGAGCCAATCTTTGTCATTTATGCTTCACCTTCCAGTCTTGATTGCTTATCAGTTTACAAATTGACTATTAACAATCAGATTATTATTTAACTATTAAGAGCAGCATGTTTCTTTTGCAGAAAGCATCTGGCAATAGCTTTGGGAACTTTTCCTTCAGTCATTCTTGGTCCAATCTACGACTGCAATCTGTCTTCTCAGAATGACAGTGACAGGAAGTGGCTTGAGAACCACTATACGTTTTATTATCCATGTGGCAAGTGGAATCTAAAAATCAAGGAGTTAAATTGCTGCCAAATCTCTAGGGCTTCTGCAATAACTCTTAAAATCTTTCTCCATGCCCCAGAATGTGAATCCTGAGAACTTTCACATATATTGTCAGATCTTCAACAAGAATACATGCATACATCAATATGTGCACTCTCTTTCTTTCATAAAACACATACACATATACAAATCCATAATCAAATTAAGATTACTTTTTTCAGTATATGTGCATAATGATGCAGAGGGGACAAAGGATAAACTAAGTCACTTGTAGGCAATTCAACAGTTTAGGTTCACAAAGAGCTCTTCACTTAATTTCATTGTTAATTTCAAGCAACAAATTCAGATATTTGGTGGTGATCCATTACGCCTTTGAGTATGTAAGAAGGGAAGGGAAGGGAAGAACGTTAAACAGGATGTGGAAAAGGGTGAGAAGGAATCAGATGAGGGCTTTGTATTTGAAGATTGAACCATTTATGTAAACTACAATTACAGTTTTATATTTGATTTAAATATAAATCAAATCTTTGCAGAAAAATGCAGAAAAATAAAATTAGTGGTATGTATAATTCTTATCCAAAAACAATTCAAGTACTGTTGGATACCTATGGGTGACAAAGAGATACTGTAAATGATATGCAATGTTTGGAATTTTTCCCTTCCTTTCCCCCATATTAGAGATAAAAAGAGCTGACATACAGTCTGTTTTGTAGCTTTACTATTTTATTATTCCTTATCTTTTGACTTGCCAATTGCCAATTTGCTGTTGAAATAGCACAGTATTCCACAGTAGCAAAATATTCAACTAGTAGTTGAATCATAGTAGGGTTTTTTTTTAAAAAAAACTTTCTAAAATATGTCAGGACAATGAAGCAAAGTTGTTTGTTCAATTGAGCCCCACAGGGAGAGTGGAGACACAACAGCACAATATTATTTTGCAAATATGTATCACAATTTTCATTCTTACAAAACAAATCAATCTCCCCTGCAAAAGCAGAAGCAGCTTTCCTAGATATCAAGAATAGGGTAGTCAGGTCTACTTTAATTCATATGTAGCTATTTCTCTGAAAAGCTATAGTATCTCTCTTTCCAAATACAAAGCAATTGTATTTGCTTTAGAAGTAATTCTACAACTCAGGCTATCTTTTAAAAGAACCAATGTCACAACATTTAGCATACATTCTGAAACACACCAACAATAATGCATGAGATGTACACAATAAAGATATTGACATCATGTGTAAGAGTTGCTTTGATTTCAGATCAAGTGACTTTCCTTTAGCTCTCTATCATACAAAAATATTAACAACTGAGTGTGCTGGTGTTTAAGCTAATCTAACAGTTTAGTCTATGTCCTTGAAACTAGGTATCCTATTTGCATACGCAAATTATGGATTTATACTGTAATCATTAAATGTATCGTTGGAATAATTATTAATCATCACAGTACTTAGCTGTTGGTGTTTCTTGTTTCTTGTGAGTAATGGGCACTAGTTTTCTATTCTCTGTTGCAGACTTCTGTCATATCTCTTGAAGTATTTTTTTATTTATCATATTTATATACCCTCTCACTTCACAAATGTAAATATTGAAGAAAATATGCTGAAGCAAGAGATATATTGCAGCAAATATCAAAAAGATCAAACTCGTTTTGACATTCCCCCCCCCCTTCATATTAGCTTCTAGGATGTTTTCCTTGGGTAATGTCAAAATCTTCTCTAAAAAGATGTCCTTTAAACCTGTCAAAGGAGTCCCCCTGCAGATTTTACTTCGCTAGTCGTTGCCAACTATAGTCATTGCTCATCTCTGTTTCAAGGCCATTGAGCCAGCGCTGTCCGAAGACATTTCTGTGGTCATGTGGCCAGCATGACATCACAGAGCACGGTTACCTTCACACCAAAGTGGTACCTATTTATCTACTCGCATTTGAATGCTTTTGAACTGCTAGATTGGCACTTGCTGAGGTGAGGACAGGAGCTCACCCTGTCATATGGCACTTGGGTCTTGAACTTGGGCTGCCAGCTTTCCAGCTGACAAGCCCAGCATCTTAACCTCTGAGCCACCAAGCTACCATTAAACCTGTCTAGGGCTGAGAAGATGAATTACAACAGAACATTACATTTGCCAACTTGATTTCATTCAAATGTGCTTGGACAACAGATAGTCAGCAAAAAGCACTGATATGTTCTGAGTTTCCAGGAAAATTTTAAATGGAGAAAGAAAGTGTTACCTTCTGT